AAGTCTTCGGCACCCGACCAGACCTCAGCGATCAACCACTAGAGGGAGCAGATTATACTTGGTACACGGATGGAAGCAGTTTCCTTGCAGAGGGTAAGCGCCGGGCAGGGGCAGCGGTCACCTCGGACAGCAAAGTGATATGGGCAGAACCCTTACCAGAGGGGACATCTGCGCAAAAGGCTGAGCTGGTGGCCCTGACGCAGGCCTTGCGACTGGCAGAAGGTAAGAGGTTGAATGTATATACTGATAGCCGATATGCCTTCGCCACTGCGCACATCCACGGGGAGATTTATAAAAGAAGGGGGCTCCTTACTTCAGGAGGAAAAGAAATAAAAAACAAAGCTGAGATCATAGCGCTTCTAGAGGCTTTGTTCTTGCCAAAAGAGCTCAGTATTATGCATTGCCCAGGCCACCAGAAAGGAAACCACCCCGAGGCAAGGGGGAATCGTCTAGCTGACCAGACGGCCAGAGAAATTGCCTCAAAGAGTCGGATATTAGCTTTAGAGGTGGTTACGGAGTGCAAGAGAAAAGAAGTTGTCAGAGACTACACTCCCGAGGACAGAAAGTTGCTCGAGAAAATAGGAGCATTTAACAACCCAGAGACAGGATATTGGGAATACCAAGGGAAGACAGTTCTACCTCAGCGGTCAGTAGAAGAACTACTGGACGAGCTTCACAAATGGACTCACCTGGGGGTAACGAAAATGAAAACATTAATTGAACGAGAAGAAACCATTCATTATCTCCCAAACAAAGATGCCATCTTACAAAGGATCGTCAAGAACTGTAAGGCTTGTGCCCAGGTAAACTGGGGCAAGAGCAGAGCCCAGGAAGGAGTAAGACAGAGGGGCCACAGGCCCGGAGTCCATTGGGAGATTGATTTCACTGAAGTCAAACCAGGAATGTATGGATACAAGTTCTTGTTGGTTTTTATTGAAACCTTCTCAGGATGGCCAGAGGCATATCCGACAAAAACCGAAACCGCAAAAATGATGTCTAAAAAATTACTAGAAGACATCTTTCCTCGATTCGGGATGCCTCAGGTAATAGGGTCAGATAATGGACCGGCCTTTGTCTCCCAGGTAAGTCAGACAGTGGCCAGGTTACTGGGGATCGAATGGAAATTACATTGTGCTTACAGACCCCAGAGCTCAGGCCAGGTAGAGCGAATGAATAGAACTATTAAGGAGGCTTTAGCTAAATTTTCGTTGGCAACTGGCACTAAGGACTGGGTGACCCTCCTCCCCCTAGCCCTATATCGGGCCAGGAATACTCCTGGGCCCAGTGGATTAACCCCCTTTGAAATTCTGTACGGGACCCCTCCCCTGGCTGTCTCTTTTCTTGATCCAGACATCTCTAACTTTGTTAGCACCCCTTCCCTGCAGACGCACCTGCGAGCATTGCAGCTGGCACATGAAGAAATCTGGAAACCCCTGGCAGCAGCCTACCAAGATGCTGTTAACACCCCTATTGCCCCCCATCCCTTCCAACAAGGTGACACCGTCTGGGTCCGGAGGAAACAGGCTCGAAGCTTAGAGCCTCGCTGGAAAGGACCGTGCACAGTCCTCCTCACCACCCCTACAGCCCTCAAAGTGGACAGGGTCGCAGCCTGGATCCACGCCTCCCATGTCAAAGCGGCAGAACCTGCACACCGGGAGTCCCAAACAGGAGAGCAGCAGGAGAGATGGCGACTGACACGAACATCAAACCCTTTAAAGATAAAACTGGTCAAAAACTAATAACCAGAGTTTTAACCCTTGTACTTTTAGTCAGAAGTGTAAAAGGTGGCCTTAAGCCATTTAATGCTACCAAATTTATGCTAACCCAGTATGGTCCCCCTTGTGAATGTAGAGGTGGCCATTGGGAAGACCCACCTGGTACATATTTCCGGTCTGTAGATTGTGGAGACAAGATTGCATATCTTGGTATTCATGGTACACCTACTCAGCATCACCAACAGAGCTGGAAATGTGTGTCTAAGCCTAAACCTATCTTACCACCAGCTAATGGTGAGTGCCCCTCTGATTGTAATTTCGTCGAAGCTATGCACTCATCCTGTTATGCTTCTTTTACTGAATGTCGGTTCAATAACATCCTGTATTTTTATTCTACGGCCATTTCTTATAAAAAGGCCTCTGGGGGCTCAGATTGGAGTCTTAACACTCAGGTAATAGGACCAGAAAGTTATAATTCAAAAACCCTTAGTGCAGGCTGCTATGTAGAACCTGGACAAAAGGCATGCTGGCCGCAACAAGCTCCGATTCACATATCAGATGGAGGGGGCCCTACAGACCAGGTTAAAGAAAATTATGTCCAAACTGTGTTGCAAAAACAAAGGGAGTCTCTCTTGCCCCGCCTTCATTACCATCCACTATTGCTACCCAAACCTAGAGGCCTTAATTTAGACCCTCAGACCATGGAGATCCTTACTGCCACCCATGATGCCCTAAACCGCTCCAACCCTTCCCTGGCAGAGGATTGTTGGCTGTGTCTCACATTAGGAACTTCATGGCCTCTAGTTTTACCTTAAAGTAACAAATCTAATATACTCCCCTCTCTGGATATTTGTAGCTATACCACGCCTTTTAAGGTCCAGCCTCGCTACTTCAACACATCTATTTGCCTTTTTAGTCCCTTTCAAAATAATTCCTTTGATGTAGACCTCGGATTAGCTATGTTTACTACCTGCTCTAGGTTTATAAACACCTCTCAGACAGGCTGTTTAGGGGGGGGAAAAATTTATGTATGTGGAAATAACATGGCCTATCCTTATTTACCCACTAACTGGACTGGTTCATGTGCCCCTGCATTGCTCTTGCCAGACATAGACATAATTCCAGGAGATGAGCCTGTGCCTTTGCCTAGCTTTGACACATTCGTTCCTAGGCACAAAAGAGCGGTCCAGTTCATTCCGTTGCTTATTGGACTGGGTATCTCAGGAGCCCTCGCTACGGGCTCAAGTTGTCTTACAAAATAGACGGGGACTTGATCTACTAACAGCAGACAAGGGAGGTATCTGTTTAGCTTTACAGGAAAAATGCTGTTTTTATACCAACAAGTCCGGGATCATCAGAGATCGGATTAAAAAGCACCAAGAAGAGCTAGAAAAAAGGCGACAGGAGCTTTTTGCTAACCCCATGTGGGGCATGTGGAACGGAATTCTGCCCTACCTTCTACCTCTTGTTGGGCCCCTGGTGTCCCTACTCTTAATCCTAACAATAGGCCCTTGCATTTTCAACCGGTTGACTCAATTCATACGAGAAAGGCTATCTGTTGTCCAGACCTTTGTGCTGACCAGACAATACCAAGCCCTAGAAACCAGTGACCCTGATAATCTATAAAAAAGAGAAAGATTCCCCTCCATAGTTACAAAGAAAAAGGGAGGAATGAAAAGAAATAAAAGTCAGGAGCCATGAAGTCTCTCAGGCAGGTCACGTACCGGTCAAGAATTCCAACTCGCCGATAAGTAAGTTTTATGGCCGAGACATCTGGCTTACTGATAAGTAAGTTTCATGGCCGAGACATCTCCAACTCACTGATAAATAAGTTTTATGGTTGAGACATCTGGCTTAGTGATAAGTAAGCTCCCCGCTCTCCCTGTAGCATTTTGTAATAGTTTAAACTAACCAATAACCGCATTTCTGCTTCTGTATCCCGCTTCTTCTCTATAAAAGTGCCAAACCCCAGCCTGTAGGCGCGCAAGTCCCCCGAGTAGACTTTGTGCCCACAGGTACCTGTGTACTAAATAAACCTCTTGCTGTTGCAACCCAAAGGCTGACTTGTCCTCTGTGGTTTCACTCTTACAGTACTACTACTGGTACCAAAAGGCCTACATTTGGATCCCAGTTGTGCTGTGCCTCAATATATAACTCAGAGCAAGTTAGTCACCCACTCCAGGCTTCAGTTTACCTCTCTGAATGAGGATGGTGAATAACCATAGCTAATGCAGACGGCTGCTATGAGAATTCAAGTGTGCTTTCAAAATAGCCTTAGATACAGTCATCTCAGTAAATGGTAGTGATTAAGATAATGGTTCCACTTCCAAATATATTTGCATTGTAAATTTACTCCAAATAGAAATGAATGAAGGGTTAGGCAGAGGAAATGTTTGTTTGGGGTGACAAAGTAGGCTATTCTTAAATATAAAGCTAACCCCAGACTTCTAAGAAAACCTGTACTGAATCAATGGTTTTCATCTGTGATGAGTCTGGCTGGGAATGGAGGCCTTTGGAAGGTCTGGGGCTCCTTTTACAGCCGGTAATAGACCATGGTTTGATCTCTTGCTGGGTGTTCCAGTGAGACATTAGACTATCACAAACATCAGGGTTAGAAAGCAAGCCCCCAGAGGCATGACTGCCCTTTGATTGCATTTAAATTGTTAGGTCAGTGTAAGACATTCTTCACAATCCTAAAACATATTTAAGAACAGAGAAAGAAAATAGAGTCTATGCTAAACAGGAAGAGAATGCAAGAGGATAATTTGAATCATTTACCCAAACAGATTAGTTCATTGATAAAAGGAAGTCTGACACGATATCTCCTGACACCATATTATGACCCTGAGTAGAGGATCAGTAAGTATTCTAACTTCTATTCAATTGCTGTGACCAAACACTCTGACCTATACCAACTTGGGGAGAAAAGAGTTTATTTGGCTCACATTTCCCTGGTTATAGTCCATCACTGAGGGAGCCCAAGGTAGGAACTCAGGGCAGGACCCTGTAGGCAGGAGCTGAAGCACAGGCCATGGAGGAATGCTGTTTACTGGCTTGCTCCCCTGGCCCATGCTCAGCCTGCTTTCTTATACAATACAGAACAACCTGCTCAGGGGTGGCACCACCCACAGTGGGCTGGGCCCTCCCACATCTCTCAACAATCAAGAAAATATTCCACAGACATGGCCACAAGTCCAGTGGAGGAAATTTCCCAGTTGAGGCTCCCTCTATCCAGGTGTGTCAAGTTGACAACTAAAGCCATCCAGCACAGTGAGTATTTAGAAAGGACCCTTTTCTGTCCATTGTCTTATATATCATATTTAGAGGACAAAGGACATTTGAAATGGCTGTTCTGAAAGTTTTTCTGTTTCAAAATTTTTAATATTTCATTTATTATTTTTATTTTATGTGTATGAGTGTATTGCCTACATGTGTATAAGTCTACCCATGTTGTGCAGTGCCTGTAGAGGTCAGAAGAAGGAATCAGCTCCCCTGGAACTGGAGTTATAGACAGTTGTTGGCCACCATGTGGGTGCTGAGAATTGAACCCAGGTCCTCTGCAAGAGCAGTCAGTGCTCTTAACTGATGAGCCATTTCTCCAGTTCCCTGCTGTTTTAATTTTTAACACACTCATGAACAAAAACTGTGAAGTGTTTCTTTTTTCACTAGAAAAATATCATGAACATTGGACTTCAAATAAATTGAACATTTACTTAAAACAAGTTTAGGCTCAGCAGGAACAGCAAACTTTGCCAATGGCAGGTTTATAAAATTTCATAATTTCCCCACAGGAACGTGTCAGAGTGTTCCTATGAGCAGCTACCTTCCTAGTCAGAAAGGTGAGATTTTAGCTTGAAAAGAAGTCTGAATATTTTTTCAAAAATGAAAATATTGATTCTGTCATTTAAAAATCTGGGTAAGGCCATGCTATGTAATAGTGAAGATGGAGGGGGTTGGGCAAGGAGGGAGGGAGGAAGGGGGAAGGAGGAGGAGGAAGAAGAAGAAGGAGGGAGGAGAAGAGGTTAGAAATCAGACAAAAAAGAGATGGTTGGGGAAAGGAAGTACTAAGCAAGAGGTCTTGCAAAGGATCAAAAAGGGGAAGGCGTGATGATAGGTGGTACTGTGGCTCATAGAAGTAAGAAGCTTAGATTCCTATTTAAATTCCAGGATCGGTGCATCAAATATCCCCACAGAGACCCTAGAATCAGGGTTTCTTTAAATGGACTCTATTTCTGTCCAAATCCAACCACCTCTTTATGTTTCTGCCTCTAGTATTTTCTTTTGATGAAACCATGCCTGGTTTCATTACAAAGTTTCAAGGAGAATGGATTTTGCTTTGGTGTTTGGACTGAATTTTCAAAGTGTAATTTCCTAAAACAAGCTTTGGAGAAGAGAATAAAAGTAAAATCCTAAGATCTTTCACAAACACCCCATCCTTTGTTCAGAGGACTCCAAAGCCTCATAAATCTTCAGCTTTGTTCTGAGTCCCAACTCCTTACACACAGAACTTTCACACACATTACATAGAAGATTTAGAAAGTATGAACTTGGGAATGGTGTATGCAAGGAAATTCAGGTATGTGGTTTTAATCCCACTAATAAAGTGTAGTTATTGGAGGTGGCACTGAAACTGTTTCTTTATTAAATAAGATGTGTCTTCTCTATCCCTGAAGAATTTTTATCATTTTCTTCCTAACCCAGAGCATCACCTCATTTATTCTTCAAACCAAAAAATAATGAGATAGCTTTTAGATGCCAGAAGATTCAAAATTTACTTTGAGTACAGACAGCCCCAGGCAACAAATCCAAATAAAAACACATAATAAATACGGGTTTGGGGGGTTGTTTTGTGTTTTTGGTGGTTTTTTTTTTTTTTTTTTTTTTTTTTGGTCTCTCAGAACTGAACTAACTCTGATGCAAAGGAGACAGGACTCATATACTGCATTCTCTTTACTGCCATCCACTACACACAAACTACCTGCCCTAAACCAAGAGAATGTAATGGCATGTGACCTTTGGTTCTT